AAGCAAATGTTGAAGAAAAGATAAGAAACAGAAAGATCCAAATGAACATTTACAGAGAAAAAATATTTTGTGCCCTCATAGACTATATTAATTGCATAAATTGAAGAAGGAAAGAAGAAAAAATCATGCAGAGCAAAGGAAGGTGCACAGAAGCGATAAGAGCGATGAGGGGATTGGGCCCAAATGCAGGGAATGTAGACAGAATCTGTAGCGTGGGCACCCGTGGACCCCAGCAACTAGAGGAGAGATCATCTTCTGTGGCCATCCCAGGGGATCCTTCACCTGCCAGCAAGCAGCAACAACCCACGCAGAATGTGTTCTGAATGGGCTCTGGGCACACCTTGTTCTCGATCGTCTGACCATCCCGCACACCCATGAGGCCTCATAACACAGGATACAGAATTCTGCATCTTCCTGGAGAGAGCCCTACTCCTGAGTGAGATATCATGAAGCCAGTTTTAAATTGTCCATCCAAATGGGGATGAAAGATGTGGCCCCATGATGTCTGATTTTCAGTTGTCACTAAGCAAGCCCGTTTCGGTTTCCTCCAACTTCTTATTCTTTGGGGGCCGTTTCTGTCACTGTGTGCTTGTTTAGAAGAGTCTTTACTCTTCTGAGCTACCGGCTATTCTACCAACATGAGGTGGAACAGATATCAAAGTTTGTTATCTGAAATATGGGGAACCGAGGAGGCCTGAGATACTAGAGATGTAAGAACTTTTTCTATGTCTATAACAGACATTGTGTACGTCTATGACCATTTTAGACAAAATCCAGTTATTCCAAGTTTAAGTAAATGAAGGTAATGGGCCACTGGCTTTGCCTTTTTTTTTTTGGCAGTGTCTTGCTCTGTCACCTAGGCTTGAGTGCAGTGGCATGATCATTGCAGCCTCTACTTCCAGGCTCAAGTGATCCTTCCACTTCAGCCTGCCAAGTAGCTGGGATTACAAGCACACACCACCACACCTGGCTACCTTTATTTATATTTATATATATATATTTGTAGAGACAGAGTCTTGCTCTGTTGCCCAGGCTTGTCTGGAACTCCTGAGCTCAAGCAATCCTCCCACCTAAGCCTTCCAAAGTGCTGGAATTGCAGGCATGAGCCACCACACCTGACCGGCTTTGTCTTTTTAAACATGCCATTGCTTGTGTATGTCCTCTGTATTCTGCTGCTTTACTAACTGCCTTCCGGGTCACTGTGTGCACGTGAGCCTCCACGTAGGCATCCTCCACAGCAAAGCACCCAGGACAGTGCCTTTAGCTCCGGACACCTGCCCAGCCAATCACCCACCTGTCTCCTCCATTTCATGGAGACCATAAGTGGGTGATTCATATAATCCAATGAAAGAAAAATGTATTTTGATCCTTACTGAGCTACGGACATGCATAGAGACTCAACTGTCATGTAGGGCTACAATACATAAATAATCTCAAATGGATTTTCCTGCAGGATATGGAGATGTCCAAAGTCTCAAACTGGAATTCCTTACCTTAATTACTCAATTTCTTACCTTGATCACTTCACCTTTCGTTCATCCCACAGGGCTTTTCAATCTGCTTTCTTTTCCCAGCACACCACTGAAACTGCTCTTGACAAGCTCAGAAGAAACTCCCACATGCTGATTCCAATGGGCCAAGCCTCCCTTGCCCGCTGCCTCCTTTGTGAAATACTGTTTTGTCTTGGCTTATTCGAGACCTCAGCAGCCCATTTTTCCTCCTGATGTATTAACTGTCCCTCCTCAAAACCTTTCTGTAGGTAATGTTCTAATGCCTACTTTCTAAATGTGCAAGAGCCTCTGGCGGCAACCTTTACTCCTTTTCTTTTTTGTAGCTTTACTCTCTTCTTGGAGTAATTTCTTTATTTCCATATATTTCAATAGCACCCTTTTACTAATGACTTTGAGTGTCAATGTGCCCTAAGGTTCAGATTTATGCAATAGCAAACACCATCTTTTACAGCTGTGCCCAGTCCACGTTTAACTTGTTTATATCGTTGATCGATATCTCAGGGAATCTTTGAATTAAATTTTTTAAGGAATGGCTAAATCTTCTAGTAGGAATAAAAATCATTCAATCTGTTCTCTAGTTTAAAACTGAACTCTTATAATGAGTATACATTTCCAATAGGCTAAGCTATTCCAGTTTTCTAGAGGGCCAAAGGAAAAGATTTCAGTACCCCAAACAAAAATGTGTAGAACAGGAGTAAGGAGAATACTGAAATTGTGAGAAGAAACAGCTAGAACAACTTGGAAAATTTCCAAACAACAAATGAAATGATTTCTACCAACTGACAGATTGTGATTCAAACAACCCTGGAAAAGGAAAGATATGTGGAATAAAAAATACAGGGGTTGTTTCCAATGCCCAGTCAGCAAATGTTCTACACTGAAAGTCTCCACATCCTTCAGGAAAATTCATTTGAGACTATCTGTGTGTTTTAGCTCTTGATTACAGTGTAGTCTCTATGCATGTCCATAGCTCAATATGGATCAAAATACTTCTTTCTTTCATTTTATTATGTGAGAATACCTTTTCTGAACTACGAAATGTATCTAATAAATATTCTCACTATATTATGCCCTATATGACTATTGACATTGCCCCAAATTTCCTTCTTTATTTTACCTCTGAAGCTTTTACACAAATACATAGTTACTCTAAATTTTAAGGTGAAAGTAAAACACAGTTCTAAAATTTTTTCAGAAACTAGAAAAAAATGGACCATCTGCCATGTGTTTGAAATATCTCTTTTAGAATGTAAATTTAACAGGAAGGGGTTAATTTTAAGCAGGGATGCTAAGTAAAGACAGTAATTATAAACTAATGGTAAATATAAACTGTTACTGACCTAGTAAAACAATCATGATGATGATGGATTAATAATTCAGGGGAAATGTATAAATGGGAAAACTCATACTCTGCATAAGTAGCAGAAGTAAGATAAGTGGTTAAAACATTACAAAATATTTTCATTGTTCTCTCAAGGCATCACCTGACGTAGTTTCCCCACATTCTGCTTCTCCTTTTTTGATCAATTTTACAATATTTTCCTCAATTTTCAAACCCTTCCTCTATATCCCTGAAAGCTATCAGCAAAACAAACTATAGATTCAATTTCTTTGAAGAATCACCTTCGCTTTCTTGTTTTCATTAAAACCTGGTCCTCCCTACATTTGTCATTTTCCTGAAGCTTTCACTCTTACCCTCTTGGTAGCACACAGATATTAGTGCCATTATTATTTTATCTTATCTTCATTCCTGCTCCCAAACCATTTCCCCTTCTCCTCCCTAAAAATCTGCTCTTCACTCGGAGTTTCTGCCACTAACACAGCCGTTCCTATTACTCTTTGATGCAGTTATCTACAGTTCAACAGATTTTCATTCTAGCTACAAAATACAACCCAATGGACACTGGGAAACAGTTCAGTTTAACCCTATCATTCAATGACGATTTGAGCACAAACTCACTCTTCTTCTATAATGCTAACCCTATCACATTCTAACACTATCTGCAATGCCAATCCTATCACATTTCTTGGTAATATCAATATTCACGACCTTGCTGAATATTCTGGATTTTTTTGATGTTTTCAATTTTACTGATCTTGTTCTTTACCCTCCCCATTCAACCATTCCCATGGGTACCTATTGTAAACAATATTTTATGTACAAATTTTATCTTATTTTAATTTTATTCTTAAAATATGAATAGCCAGTTCAGCAAGATTGAAGAATAGATCAATATGCGAACATTACTTGCACTCCTATATATTTACAATGAACCCTCTGAAAATAAAATAAAATAAAATTTTCATTTGCAATAGTATCAAAAAATCTTTAGATATAATTTACGAAGATAGTGCAAAACTTATACTTTGAAACATACAAAACATCATTGATAGAAATTAAGATATAAATAAAAAAGACACCCCATATTTATGAATCGTAAGACTTAAAACTCCTCAAACTGATCTACAGGTTCAAGGAAATTCCCATTAAAATTCCAGGTGGCTTCTTTGTAAAAACTAAGAAGCTAATTCTAAAGCTAAAATTCATATGTAAACTCAAGGGAACAAGTTAACCAAAACATTCTTCAAAAAAAGAGCGAAGATATAAGACTCACACCTTCTAATTATGAAACTTATTACAAAGCAAAAGTAATCAAGAGAGTGCAATACTGTAAATACAGGTAAAACCCATATACTAAAAATTAACTCAAACAGGATCAAAGATCTAAATAGAAGGTCTAAAACTCTAAAACTCTTAGGAGGAAATAACATTACCTTCGATTCGGCAATGGATTGTAGATATGATGTTAAAAGCAAAAACAACAAGGCAAAAAATAGAAAAATTGACCTTTGTAAAATAAACTTATGCTTCGAAAGACACTATCAAGAAAATAAAAAGATAACAAACAGAAGGGGAGAAAGTGTTTGCATATCATATATCTAATAAGGACTTCTATGTAGAACTCTTAAATGTTATGTAAGGAACGTTCACAAATTAAGAGTAGAAAGAAAAAATAACTAATCCAAATAAACATATCAAAAAATATGAAAAGAAATTTATTTAAAGAAGATCTGCAAATGGCCAATAAGCACATGAAAAGATGCCCAACATCATTAGTCATTGCAGAATGGAGGCAAAACTGCAATAAGATACCATTTCACATACACAAGGATAGCTAGAATAAAAACGTTAGGTGAGGACAAATGTTGATGAAGCTGTGGAGAGGTCAGAACCCTCATACACTGCAGGTGGGCATGTAAAATGGTCCAGCCATGTTGCAAAACAGTCTTGACGTTCCAAAAAAAACTTTCAACACAGACTTACCGTATGATCCAGTGATTCGACTGCAAAGGGAAATAAAAACATATGTCCACACATAAACTTGTACACAAATGTTCATAGCAAATTTTTCCTACTAGCTAAAAGGTGAAAACAACCCAAATGTCTATCAACTGATGAGTGGATAAATAAAATATGGTACAATATATAATTGAATATTTTTTGCCCATAAAAAAAAATAAGTACTGAATCATGCTCAATGTGGATAAACCTTGAAAACTTAGTGAAATGTTAAGTCAAAGTAGCCAAATAAAAGATCATATATTGCATAATTCCATTTACATGAAATGCACAGGATAGGCAATACTGTAAAGATGGAAACTAGATAAATGGTTGCCTAGGACCAAGGGTGGGGAGTGGGGATTGGGGATGATAGCTAAGGGTTATTGTGGTAGGAAGGACTGACTAAAGTATTCCAAAATTGAGTGTGATTTTGGTTGCACAGCTCTGAGAATACACTAAAAATCATTGATTTATACACATCACAGGGTAAGTTATATCATACGTGAACTCTATCTCAATAAAACTGTTGCCCCCCAAAAAAGTCTGTATTAGAAATGCTGCAAGTAGAAGCGTCTACGAGAGATGTGCTGTGATGTCTAAAATTTGCTTTAAGATATTGCAGAAAAAGTAACCAAGGCCTTATTTTACTATGTCCTCTAATTGTGTGTATGTTTTAAACATTGTATCTTAAAACTTACAATACAGATATTAAGAAAATGCTAGTAGTTGGCTTTAGGAAATTTGACATTATTTGCTAAAAATAATGATTTCTCAGTCCTGTCAGCCTCTTGATGCCTTCCCAGTCACTATAGCACACTTCTCAACATCAAATAAGAAGCTCACTTTCAAATGATGTCATCGGAGCAGTAGAATACTTTTTTTGTCCAAATCAGTCAGTAGAGGGACCTACTGATGGTGATTTGACTCCCAAGTTGTGAGCTTACCTTCCTTTCTAATCAGAACAAAGTTCAAAGCCCAGCTCCTCCTGTGCTCATAGATTTGAGTGGTGGTGATGCAAACTCATCAGCTCAACTCCACAAATGGAAGCTTTGTGCATTGCATGAATATGCTTTCTTTATAATTTTATGCAGGATTCTGTTATTCCAGGCTTTGCTTATTTTAAAAATGCTGCACTTCTTATAATCACTGGTGAAGATTTTGCCCTTAATCTTTGGGTATAGAGATATGGCAATAAAGTGATTGAAGTAACAAAATTACCTCAATTTTCATTTACATCTCAGAATTCATTACATTCCCATCAATTTCAGCCTTTTCTGTGGAATAAAATTATAGAATGATCTTTACTGTAGGTGACATGAAAGAAATAGTTGCGATCTTAATGTTCATCACTCTGGTTGGTGTAGGTTTACACACACACAATAGGCAGAAAATGTTTTCCGCAGGTAGTCCCTGGTTCTTCATAAATCTTATTCAAATGAGTGTTGAGATTTGTGTTGTTTTTGTTGGTTGTAGTTCATGTAACCATGATAACATGTAAACAGATCATTCATCTTGTTTTAATATGATGCAGCATTAGTCAACTTTCTTGTATATAACGTGGTTTTCTCTGGCTGAAAAAAAAATTATGAAGGTAAATAATAAAATAACAAGATACTCTTTTCCTGACACCAGAAATAGGAGGGAAAATGCAAGGAGCAATTCCCAAGCAAACTAAATATTTATCTAGAAAGTAAACTAATCTAAAAATGACTAAATTTACCTTGAATTGGAAAAATTGTTTTCTGCAACCAAGCAGAGATGATAACCCAATGTTTAAATTCACTTCCATTATTGAGAAATACATGAGTGATATTTCTGCATATTCAAATCTGACTCGAAATTCATTTTTGCTCCACAGACTCAATGTATTAAAACACTTGCGTTGTGTCCAGTCTTAAAACAATGTGAGCAGATAAAAGTAGTTCCTCATTTACACTTGAAAATAAGTTTTATAGAAATGGGAGGTGAAGCAGAGAAAATAAAATCAGACCCTCATCTTATTTCTAGACAAATAGGTATAAAACATTAACTCCTCTCCTACACCCGGTGCTACTCACATTAGCTTCCCCCACACTACCATTTTTCTTCTTTCAACCACCATTCTATCCCCTCCCTCTTGCTTCTTCCTCATCCAATTTATCTGGCATCATTGTTACTATTTCACAAACCACAGCTTCTACTAACTGTAATTTGTCTGGCAGTCCCATTTCTTCAGAAACATTGACTACTTTCCTGGCCACAGTCTCTCCTGCTCTTACTGACCAACATCAAGCATTTGGAAGATAATTACATGGTCAAATAATGTTCTCCAATAACCTTTCTCTGCTTAACATCTGTGCCTCCAATACACTCACAAAAAACACACAGGCTCACAAACACAAAACACAATTCTGAGTACCATTCACCACAGAGAATTTAGTATTTAGTCCCAGAAGTTTTATTGAATTAAGAAAACAAGTCGTTAAGGAGCAAAATAACTACATTAATATTACTGTAGTCTGGAGCTAGGCTTCCGTTGTTTTCATTTGCTTTGCTTCATTTTGGTTTTGATTCTGTTAATCACAGAGCAGGTTAACGTCATCTTCTCTTTTCTCTCAGTCTCCATCCATGATTAGCCTTGTTCCCTTTGTAATCAGAATTGATGAATCAGCAACCTATGACAAATGCAGGCTCAGAATGGCTATTCTTAGGAAAACTTATCAACACCACTTGGAAAATTATTGTCATTTCAGAAATTAAGCATAAAATCCCGAATTAGCAGGGGCATCTTTGTTGGCATATCACTGCTTCTTGAATGCAGAATGATTCATCCAAGTGCCTTAAATCTAGTTCCTGAAGTATTGATTCCATAGTTGTTTGTTTATGTACATTTCAGTTCATTTGAGTAACAAATATCTTCCCCATTAAACTAAACTACCTGTTGGTAAGGGTCATGGCTTTGTTTACCAAATTTAGCACCCCACAGTTCCTGGAAAAGCAAAGGCATTCAATAATATTTTTGACTAACTGAATGACTAAAGCATTTTAATAATATTCAGGGAACAACATAGCTCCAGAGGTCCTCAGGTTTAAGTAGGGAAATCTCTACCATATTGGAATGGTATTAATTAAAATTCCTTCTGCTAAAGATAAAATCTGACTACCTCCTCATCAACTAACGTTATTTTCTCTGGTCTATGTCTTTACTGTATCTCCATTGTGTACATGATTCCGCTGTGTTCATAAGATCTTGTTTTAATCTATGTATTGTATACCTATTTTAATTCTTGATTCTGAACTTACAAAGACTAGGCACTGAGTCTTAGTTTTCCCCAATTTCCCAACTCCTGCCACATTTCCTGGCATGTGATACACACAAAAAGACTTTGAACTGGTTGAATAAAAGTATAAGTAGGATCAATGAGATGTGTTAATTATTTTGGTAGAATTTCTACGTATTTATCTTTCAGTGTTGTGGCTCCTCACAAATGCAGGCATGAAAATGCTGCCAAGAGCCCTAATAGCTTGCATTCCAGGCTTGAATATGTCCTGGGCAGGGATTCTGGACAAAACGAAAGTGGGAAGAACACACCTTCTAATTTTAGAAAAGTGTTCTACAGTAGAAAATATACTGACTTGAAAGTCAAAGGAGTTAGATGAGTATTTGGCCAAGAATGTGTTAAGCAACATCTCTGTTACAATTTGTATATCTGGAAAGTTGAAAGCCATGAGAGTGGTATGTAGTTTTTAGGATATACAATGATATAAAACTTAATTCAAATTCCATCTTTGTTACCAGGAACCTGGGCAAGTTACTCAGCCTGTGTGAGTGTTAATTCTTTCCACCGTATATTGAGATAATACCTAACTGGGAGAGTTGATCTGTAAATTATAATTACAAGGAGCTCAGCCCTACACTTGAAAAATACCAGAGACTGTTGTGTGTTATAAGATAAACTGAAATAATAAATAAGAATAGCAAGTCTATTGCTAAAGAAATGGAAAGAATAAGTTTTTAAATTCCTTGGACAGTAATGAGTGGATCTTATACAAAAGCAACCATATTGTTTGATAGAAGAAGAAACCTATTGCTGCTTGGCAGATACTTACAGATAACTGAGCACTGTGGCTTACACATATGAAAAGAAACAAAATTCTGCTGGAAGTAATTCTCAACATGAAAGTGAACTGTTCACAAATACGCAGTCTCCCAAGACAAAGCAGAGACATCAGTCACACTGCTAATGGCAACTCAGTCAGGTGCGAAGAAGAAAACAATTTTCTAACGTTTCTGAAGGGCCTCAAGAGAGGAACTATTCAATTCCCCTTCTGCCCATTAAAAACGCAAACTGTCATATTCTGCTGGTCATCTCAGAAGAGAAAAAAAGCGTATTAAACAGAATTATTTAGAATAGTTTCAGGTTTCCTATTCACAGGCTTGGGAGAGTGCTGTCTCTCATATATCATGTAGGTGACAGTACTGAACTAAACTGTTCAGTACTGTCAATAACTAAACTGTTCAGTACCGTTCAGAGAGGATGGGTTGCCCTCTCTTCCAAACACATAGAAATGCTTGACAAAATATAAGATAGCTGAGTTCCAAACCAGAAAAAACAAAATCAAGTGTATTTTTAAGTATGTGTTCAAAGCTAAAAGAATCAAGACTTGCTGTAGGAGGCTTTGGACCCACAAGTCGGAATTAGGAGAAATGGTATTAATTCCTAAGTCGGTACAGGAAATGAGAGTTCGGGTTTCTGTGAAGCAGAGTTGGAACACGTCAATGGTATAAAAACCTTTAAGAGCTTAAAACCTCTAAGAGCTGCATTGTTCATGCATCTAGGAACAGAAAAAAACAAATGCTCTCACTATCCTAAGAAAGGGGCAAAGAAGATTGCAAGCAAACAAGAGCCACAGTTAGAAATAGAGTTCATGGTCAGAAATCAGAAATCTTAGAATTCTGTTAGGACACAAAGGGGAGGACATAGAGGATTTGCATGGTGTGATCACTGTTGTTGTTTTTTGAGTATCAAAATGAGTCTAGAACAGGTAAAATCCTAATGCTTTAGCAGTAGCAAACTTGAAATATATTTATAGAATGTTTTCCACAATGAAATTCCATTAAACACAACCTCTCTACTAATGATCTGAGAGGGTGGATGGGGATTGAGAATGAAGAAAAGTAGACAGCCTGCCCAACTACAGCAGGAAAATAGGAATTGTAGGATGAGCACTCAAGGACTGGCCATTTGCCAGACTGAAGTCAAGATGAAGATTGTCAGATGGAAAGAAGATACGAGCTTATGAATGAGACCAATGAAAGCAAGTCTGTGTCTAAGACTATCAGATAAGCTGAAACCTCAAAGTCAAAGAGAAAAGTCTTAAAAGTTAACAGGTTAAGAGGGAAAAACACAAGCTCTAGGTTCTCCTTTCCCTGGATTAACTCTCCGTCTGTCTCTGCTGCTGTTGCACACTTCATAATCTGGGACGCTGACTTTTACAGCTCAGGTCCCATGGGGTTGCCTGCTCCCCAGCACCTAGTTCATTTCAGCCCGTGCAAGAAACTGGCAGAGGATTGCAAAGCTAGAGGGGAGAGCGACAGAGAATATTTGTTTCCTGCATCCCCTGATTTAGTGTGGTCCTGCCCAGGGCTTCATCCCTGTATGGTGATATCTTCTTCTGTTGCTCCGATTCTCACCCGGGTTCTGGAAACATTACTTCCTCAGCTTTTAGGTACAGGCTTAAAGGAATGCTGGATCCCCCTTTATGTGTGTGTGGGACCCTGGAAGACATCAACATTTCTTGTCTGTTTCCTTAGCTTCACCCACATCAGCATGTACAGTCCCTTTATAAAATCCCTTGAATATGCTCTGCTTGCAAAGACCAAGGCTTGCTCCAACAGATTACCTACAAGAAGAGAAAATTAGTCAGGCATCATATTTCTTATTAGAAATAACAATAACTCTTCAAATAAAGGACTCTAGGGAAGACTTTGGTTTAGAACTATATGTCTAACTGAATTATTGCTCATGAGTAAGCAAAAATAGGAAAAAAAAAACCCTTAAAACAACCACAAAACAGTTGCAAAAGATTCTTAATAATGTTAAAAGACTAATTAAATGATGCACTTTTGTATAAAAGAAAGAGAGTCAAATTCAAGACAAAGTAGCAATGAACAAAGTGACAATCGCGTGTAATCTCAATCTCAATCTCATACTGCCTTTAACAAAGTCTACCGTGGTGAGTATAATAAAAAGAAATGTGTACTAAAATACTAGACATCAGTAAGGTGGAGGATCACAGTTATATCTTTTTAGGTTTTATGTATTGCTTGAGAAGACTGTCTTACTAATTGACAACAATCTTGAAATCAAGTAAATGTGGTAAAATTTTTACAGAAAAACATCAAGAATAAAACAGAATTAACGTATTCCAAACCAATAAACAAACTAGATGGTCTAATACCAAACAAAGAAACGAGTCTTGAGAACAAAATATGTCATGACTACTGAATGAAACTACTTTTCCATGGTATTTATTTTTATGTAAGAGAAGCTAAAAAGCTTTTTGGAATTGTCGGTTTATTTTTCTATTTTTTGTTTCCACTAAAGTCCTAGTCCACTTACACCTCTTCAATATATCATGTTGTCTGCCTGCATCCAAGTCTATCTGTTCTTATCACATTTTTTTCAGAAGTTTCCCATCAAAATTAATGCAAAGAAAAAATAAATGCACTAATACAGGTTGGAATATTGAACTAGAGACGAAGAGTAAGAGTTCAGCCTGAATCTTGGCTTTAGGCCAAGACAGCTTATGCACTTCTCAAACAATAATATTTACCATATTTAAGGTAGCATATTTGGTGCTGAAGGGAATTAAAAACAGAAAGATGGGTTTTATGGGTTTGAGACCTTGTGATATAAATAAGTTATAAATAGTGTCTGGCAACAGATGGGAAACCAAGAATATCATTCACTTTTTTCATAATGGTTATGAATAATGGAACTTGTCCTAAAAATCTGCAAAATTTTTAAATTCTAGGTTTTATTTTGCCCTTTGGCCTTATGCACCATTGAAAAGCATATTCTATCCCCATCTTACATGGAAATATTAATGCTAAGACTTAAAAAGAGATATTAATGTTAGATAAATAAGATTGGCTGTCTAATTTACATCTTTAAGAAGTTGATCAGAAAAACAGAAGATTTTTTTTTAAGTTGAGAATAGCTGACTTCTTTTCTTGCAAAAATACTGCAGGTCATTTCATCATTCAAGTGTTCTTAATAAAAGTTTCCTCCTCAGTAATCTTTGAAGTTATTTTTTCTTATTATATAATAACCAAAAAGCTTATTATAAACAGTAACTATTCTATATAAGACAGTTGGATTATGGTGGGGAAACCTTTAGGAGAATATGTGAATTGTGGAATAAACTTTAAAATTAATATATTTTCTTATTCAGTTAAAAAGCGTCCTTTTTGTTGTTGTTCAGCTGAGGATTTCTTTCCCTATAGTAAGGCAGTTTCATTGCTTAAAAACAATATGTTGATTTATATTCTAGCACAAGCTCCTTAATATGGGTAATTATCATGAGAACACACCTCTAGAAAAGACTCCAAACCACTTCTTACGACAACATAATTCCTTATGGTTTTATACAGTTCAGAGTTGGATGTGATTTTCAAGAATACACTTGTAACCGAAGAGTTCTACTCTTCCTTCCTCATTATATTCAAATCCCATTAAGAACAGAAGTGACATTTCATGTTTTGTTATTTATTGTGCTGAAATAAAAAAAAAAAAACACAACATCTCATATATTTTTCACATATTCTCCCGTTAGTATTGAGTGCCTAAATAATTTGAGCTATGTGATGTTAAGGAAAAGCAGTTCTTAAAATACTAACTTTTAGGCAGTTTATTCATCATTTACAAGCAAAGCTCTTTGATGCAGACCTTCACTAATGGTTAGGCAACTGGACACGATTTTTCATTCTTAGTAACCTAAAGTGCCACTTTACAAGAACCCTAAAAGCACCAATGTAAAATATTGAATCTTTGCTTATGTCAGGGTTTTAATTAAACATTTTGTTCTGTGAATGTTGTTGACTTTGAACTTATTTTTATGTGTTTAAATGCAGCTTATGCTTAGTTTATTGTTTCATTGCTTCACTAACCAATATATATTCATAATAACAGAATAGTTTTAGCACTTATCAATTATGACCACAAAACTGAACTTAATAAACATTTGTCATTATAAATCTGAATAAAACTAATACTTATATTTCTCCAGAAGCACTTCTTTAGTATCATGCAATTTATAGTCATTACTTCATTTAGAAAAAATATGTGTTCTTACTTGACAAAAATTCTAGTGAAGCTTGTTTCACTATTTGTAAATTAGGATTGCAAAGAAAAATGATTGTATTTACTGTGACTGAAGGATAATACTTGACTATAAATTAGACCGAAGTATGTGAAATTAAAATAAAAGATTATAAAAACAATAAGCTATAAAACAAATTGTTACATATTGTTAGATTTTTATACATTTTGATTATAATTAACAAGTTCACCTTAAACTACCTCATATTTTAAAGCGATACAATTGAACATGACTGGTATTTGGCTCTTGTCACATGTGACTCACCAGTGGAATTTGTTGACTTCCGAATCAGTTTATAACTTGGTTAATGAAACGAGTCCATTGTTAAAGAATATAAGTGATGCAATAATTTCAAGCACCATAAAATTGTCTAAATAGTCATTCCAAATGCCTGTCCTCACTCTTGACTCCGCGATATACAGTCCCTGGACCAGAACCAGTTTTGAGACTCCACTTTGAGCAGCACAGTCACGTGGTCCCAGGAGGGCAGTGCCAGGGACTATTCCCTGGGAGAAAGGTGAAGCCCACATTATGCACTGCCTTTGATCATAACTCAAGAAGATTTACTTTAGCAGCCAGTGGAGATTTCTGAAAGTAAGAAAATGGAATTATCAGTCTTAGGAAGATTAGTCACACCAAAGTGTTTCAGATGGTGTGAATAATGGAAGGCGAGAGTCAAGATAATTTAAATAATCCAGAGACTGGGCTAGAATGATGATGCTGAGTTTGAGAAGAAGCAGGCAACTGAAAGTAAAATCAAATTTAATAGGGTTTTAACGCTGATGTTTCTATTGCCATGTTTTAAATTTCTAACAATATATCATCCTTAGCAGGTCTTAGTGAAACAAAATGAATGTGTAGATATTTAAAAATATATTTTATACAATCCTCAAAATAAAACAAACATGGTGACATCTGTCTCCTGTCTCAAAGCAAAGAACATACTGGCAAAAGTTGTGGGAAATTGACATTTCTAGAACTACAGAAATCAACCAAAGTTCTGAAAGAATCTGGAGCATATTGATTTAAGAAAAACGTCTGCGTATTAGTAAGCACGGTGAGTGTGTTTTAACACGCCCTATTTTCTTTTATCTCTCCAGATTTGTGACAGGTTTGAAGTCAGCAGCCTCCACATCATAATGAAAACCAGAAATCTACAGCCTTTTACTGGGGTTGGGGAAGAGGTGTAGAAACCATCTAAAACTTGCTTCCAGAAAATTGTAATTATTTGTCTTACTGGTAACACCCTAAAAGATCCTCATTTGCAGGGATTTTAATGATTTGACCTGAATCTGATCCTACGCAGTGCAGCTTTTGCCTCAAGAACCTTTGCCAAAAACAACCAGTGGTGATGGTTTAATATCCCAGATGCCAGAGATGGCAAGAACGGGTGAGGCAAACAAAAAACTGAACAAAAACAAAAACTAAAAAGCTGTGGGTCGAGATGTCCATAGAAAGCTTTAAAAATGCTGACATGGCCGGGCACACCTGTAATCCCAGCACTTTGGGAAGCCAAGGCAGGCAGATCACTTAAGGTCAGGAGTTCAAGACCAGCCTGGCCAACAAGGGGAAACCCTGTCTCTACTAAAAATACAAAATTTAGTCAGGTGAGTACCTGTAATTCCAGCTACTTGGGAGGCTGAGGCAGGAAAATCCCTTGAACCAGGGAGGCAGAGGTTGCAGTGAGCCAAGATCACGTCACTGCACTCCAGCCTTGGTGGCAGAGTGAGACTCCATCTGAAACAATAATAATAATAATAAAATAAACAAATAAATAATTAAATATCTCTGACATATTTACAACACAAACTGAGAAGCTTACACGTTTGGGAATGTCCCTATGTATGTCCAAGAAATACCCTAAGTAAGACTCTTACCTTTGCTAGACCTTGAGACCTTGTTCACGTAGGGGGTGGGGGTTAAAGCAGAATTGTAAACACTGCCTGACTGAGTGTTGAGCTGTGTCCCAAAATCCACTCAAAATGAATGAGCAAGCACTAGGGGATTACTGGTTGTAGCCTTCTAAAAAATAGAACTCAAGCTAACTGAGCAGAGAGTACAATGACCACAAATGACAAATAATACAGATATTAAGGAATTAGTCCAAGAAAATAGCTAAGCAACAGCAAAAATAATTCAAGGAAAGTATGAGAGTAATGTCTAACCAAATAAAGAATATCAATAAAGAAATATAAATTACCAAAAGATAGCAATTCTGGAGTTGAAAATTACAATAGCTGAAATAAAAATGTACTAGAGTAGTTCAGCAGAAGATATAAGACAGTGCAGGAAGAATCAGTGAATTTGAAAATGGATTAATTAAAATGATTTATTTTGTTAATAAAATAGCAGAAAAATAATTTTAAAAGGGAAAGGGCAAAGCCTGAGAGACCCCTGGGACACTGCAAGCATTCCCGCATACACATGATGACAGTCTCCTACAGAGATGAGAAAGAAAAGGGGACAGAAAAATTATGGAAGAAATAATAATAATAAACATCACATATTTGTTGAAAGACATGAACATACACATCCAAGAAACGCAGTAAACTCTAGTATGAAAAATTCAAAGACATCTACAATAAAACACATCATAGTCAATGAAACACATCATAGCCAAACTGTCAAAATGCAAGTCAAAGAGAGAATATTGAAGCAACTCATCAAGGTATCCTTAATAAGATTAGTAGCTGATTTTTCATCAGAAGCCATAAGGATTAGAAGACAATGGGATGATATATGCAAAATGCTGGAAAAAAAAAAGTCAACCAAGAATTCTATACACAGTAAAATTATACTTCAAAATGAAAGAAATTAAGAGATCCCCATTTAAACACAAACCAGGAAAATTTATACACAGCATATCTGTCCTGAAAGAAATATTAAGAAAATCCTTTAAACTCATAGACACTAGAAAAAAAAATTCAAGTCCACACAATACAATGAAGAGCTTTGGTAAAAGTAACTACAAAAGTAAACACAAAATACAGAACACCTGTATTTATTTTTGTAACTTTTTCTTCCACATGTGACATATAATGAGTAAATACGTAATGAGTATAAAAATAGTAGCACAAATGAGAGGAAAAATAGAAATATACAAAAGCAAATTTTTATATAATCTTAAATCATCTTGGATTTAATTTAAACTAGATTGTTATAAATTCAGATGGCTATTTTAATTTCCCGGGCAACTACTAAGAAAATAACAAAAATAAAATAAAATAAATGACAGCATAATTTAAGTAGCACAGTAGAATATATTTATTTAACATAAGAGAGTGAAATAATTGAGGAATAAAATAATAAAAAGGATAAACAGTATATAAAATCAAATAAAGTGGCAGACATAAATCATACTTTATTAATAACTACATCCAAGGTAAATAGACTGACCACTTTGTGAAAAGGTAGAAGTTGACAGAATGAATTTTTAAAAAATGATCTGATGGTATATTGTATGCAAAAGATGCGCATTAGATTTAAACACAAAATGGAATGAAAGTAAAATGATAAATTTAAAAAGGATATTATAAAAACTGTAACCAATAATAGCTATCTTAACATCAAGTAAAAGAGATTTTAAGACCCAAAATAATTACTAGGTAAAAGGGATATTTTATAATTATAAAAGGCTTAATAAGTCAAGAAGAGATAACATTTATTAAAATATATGCATTTAACAACAGAATCACAGTATGCAAAAAACGAAAACTGATTGAAATGAAAAAAAGCAGAAAATTTGACAGTAATAATTAGAGACAAAAATACTAACTTTCAGTAACGGATCCAACAACTAGATAGAAGATTGATGAGGAAATAGAGAACATGATAAACACTATAAGCCAACAAGATCAAACAGACATAAATAGAACACGCCATCCACTAATATCAGGGTACATATTCATCTCAAGTGAATATGGAACATTGTCCAGAACAGACTATGTATTTGGCCTAAAACCAAATTTCAATAAATTTTTTAAAGTTTCAGTTTTAACAAACGAAGACATTTTCTTTGGCAATAATAGAATGAAATTACTAAACAGAGAAAAAATCACAAGGAAAATTAGTAAATACTTGGGATGAATCATGCAGCAAACCACCATGGCACGTGTATACCTAACAAACCTGCACCTTCTGCACATGCAACCCAGAATTTAAGAATAATAATAATAAAACACATACTGAAACTTATGGAATTCAGCTAAAACAATTTTGATGTAAAACTTGTAGCTGTAAATTCCTAAAATAAAAACAAATAAATATCTTAATAAAGAAACATTGAATCTTAAGAGACCGGAAAGAAGACCAAATTATCGCAAAGCAAGCAGAAGAAATGAAGTAATAAAGATTACACTGGAAGTAAATACAGAGAAAATAAACAAAAGTTGATTGCACAAACTTTGACAAATTTCAACAAAATTTATAAACCTTTAGCTAGGATGACCAAAAAACTGATCAAATTATTAACATTAAAAATTAAGGAGTGTATATTACTATACTGATCTTATAAAAATGAAAAAGAATTATAATGGAATAGTATGAATAAGTGTACAAAAGTAGATAGCCTAGGTGAAATAGACGAATTCCTTGAAAGACATACAATACTGATCATGACTAATTAAGAAGTAGGAACTGTGAACCAACTTGTAACAAGTAAAGGAATTGAAATAATTGTCTTTATTTGCAGATGACATGATCCTTTACCTAGAAAACCATCGGCTCAGTCCAAAAGCTTCTTAAGCTGATAAGCAACTTCAGCAAAGTCTCAGGATACAAAATCGATGTGCAAAAATAGCTAGCATTTGTATACAACAATAGGCAAGCTGAGAGCCAAATCATAAATGAACTCCCATTCATAATTGCTACAAAGCAAATAAAATACCTGGAAATACAGCTAACAAGGGAAGTGAAGAACCTCTTCAAGGGGAACTACAAACTACTGCTCCAGGAAATCAGAGAGGACACAAAGAAATGTAAAAACATTTCGTGCTCATGTGTAGAAAGAATCAATATCATAAAAATGGCCATAGTATCCTAAGTAATTTATGGATTCAGACATCTTATCAAAATGTATAAAATGAACAGAAGTAAGTTCTCAAATTATAAAACTCTTAAAATAAATCACAGGCATACCTTTTTATGACCTTAGGTTTGTCAATGATTTATTTCATATGATACCCAGAACATAAGCATTCAAAGGAAGAATATAAACTGGACTTCATCAAGTTTAAAAACTTTTGTGTTCCAAAAGATTATATTAGGAAATTGAAAAGACAATCCATAAAATGTAGGAAATATTTGCAAATAATATACCTAATAAGGGTCTAAGATCCTGAGTCTATTAGATTAACCAATTTACAAAACCAGAGCCTTAGCCAATGTGCTACATATAATTTCCAGAGTGTTTTCCTTCATTTATCTGTGAATATTCTAATTTGTATATTTGCATACAACCCACTGTATGGATTGCTTTCTGTTCTCATAATTTCTGAATGAAAAGTGGGAAAAAAGAATTGGTATTACTATGAAAATATAGATAATTCTTCATATTTGTATCTAAATTATGAAAAACCTCAGTACCTCAAATTTAGAGTCTTTTTTTTTTTAAATTTTACTTCCCAACACGAACAGTTCAGTGCCATCCTTTCAGCCTTACTGGCTGATAGTTTGGATATTTGCCTCCCTGAATCTCTTGCTGAAATGTAATTCCCAACGTTGGAGGTGGGGGTTGGTGGGAGGTGATTGGATCATGGCAGCCGATCCCTCATGAATGCCTTAGCGCCATCACCTTTGTCCCGTCCCCAGGATAGTGAGTGAGTTCTCATGAGATCTGTTTGTTTAAAATGTGGGACCTCCCCCTGTGCCCTTGATCCTGTTTTCACCATGTGACGTGCAAGCTTTCCCTTCCC